TCCTATAATCGTAGTTTCGTAGATATTGAAGCTAATTTTTATAGATTGAAAAGTAAATAAAACTGTAACCCCAACATTTAAATCAAAATACTTGTGACGTTACCTGCATATAACAAGAAAATTAAATGTAAGATAATTGATTCTGCAACATTATATAAATTACACAAATTATTTGTGCTAATCGCACAAACGGAATAACGTAATATATATATAAATAACACGATTTCTTTCAAATTCATACAATAATAGGTAAATCTTTAATAGTTTCAAAAGTTGTTCGTATCTCCAGCTAACTACGCAAGTCTCGTTCCACGTCCCCGTCGTGGCCGGTCAATTATCGCGTAGTTGGCGCGCGGCCAACGCGACTCCTTGTTAATTACCCCCCGCGCCCGCCCCGCCCCGCCACCCCGCCGCGTCTCACACCGCTTTGAATTGTCCCGACTCGACGTCTCGTTCACTGTAGATAATCACAGGATATTCGTTTTTAGAATCGCTTTTTCACTCTTGTTACTATTATATTTTAAGTCTGGACAAGATGTATGCAGAATATTGCAAACTCGTTGACTCTAATAATGAGTGAATTGCAAAGAAGGCCAAACGTAAATGGGCCATGTTTTATCACTCGATGTTCATTTCTTCTGTTTTATTTATTTATTTCTATAACTTCGTCGTTGCAGGTAGCGGTAGTTAAATAGTCAAACTCCCACTAGTTTTACCTTAAAACTTTATTTTATTATGCAATATTTATCAGTAATTTAACGTTATTCACTTGCTAGTCCTAAATTCCATCCTTTCCTTTGATAATGTCCAGGAAACCCAACGATATCTTTTCAATCGCGTCCGCTATAAAACCCACACGATCCTAAATAACAATCACACGTTCAATTTAAATTTAAATATATTTATTTGACCAACTTTTAAATACATTGTTGCAGCATTCACAGCGCAAGTGATTTATTGAATCAACTATTTGTAACCTTGGTATGCGGGTTGCATAAATGCTTATTTAAATCAAGTGATAACTGACGTACCCGTTTGTTGTTTAGCTATTGTAATAATTTTTAATATAACCCATAGTAGTATTTTATGTTTTCCTGTTCACAATTTTTGATAGTCCCTCAAAAAAGTTGACGAGATTAAAAAGCTAATTTTTACCTAAATACGAGATTTTCCTCCAAGTCTTTTTCTCCACGGACATAAACAACTCACTACCGAATGTTATGACTTCGATCTTTTTACGATAAGTAAGTAACGTGTGGAATGCTATAAAGTAGTCATTACAGAAATAACATTTTGAGATAAATCTCTCATGGCCATATAAAATACCTATTATAACTTTTCTCTTTAAAATTTATAATATCTATCTATTAAATCTAACTTAACACGAAACTCCTATTCATAAAACGAAAATAACGTCTCAAACCTCTTTACAAACTTCCTTTAAGTGCAATAAAGACCGATGAAAACAAACTTGCACTCTTAACCCGAAACTAGAGAATTTTAGAAAAATTAATTCCACCGGAGATAAAAGAAATAACGAAATGCAGCAAGCGATTATACTTTGCCGCATCGATATAAAAACACATTCTGATAAACTTAAAAAACATATATATGATATATCGTGGGTGTCTGACACCAAAACCCTCGTTTAAAGGTAGACTTCTCTATTTTGTCAAAGATTGCAAGCCTGATATGTTTAATAGATATTTTGGGAGTCTGTAACGAATGAGTAAAGATAAAAACTGAAATATATTTACAAAGTAGCAGCAAAAGCGGACTGGGCATTGTTAAAACTGTTCTACCTATAAAAATATTGAACTAACTTAACTATCACCCATTACGCTACTCGAAGTTTGATCAAGTCTGACAAGTTTTATTTACTTAGAAATTAAAAATGTATAGATCGGCAGAGATATCTGACCAGGGGGACATAAGTCAAACTAAATTATCACTTTTTTGTACCTACTGTAGCTGTCATACGTTTTTTCTGACAGAGCATATCGCGACAGCAGTGCCTCTCATCAGCTATGGTTCAGATATCCTCGGTAGACTGTGATGGATACCTTTTTTCCACTACTATAACTATAAATTTTTGAACAAAAGATCACATTTTAAAGCCGAGCGAAACGAAACAAAGGCCGTAGTTTCCACTTGCAGCGTGCATCGCGTTTTTATAAACTGTTGCGTTTGTTAACAGCAAATATTCGAAATCACTCGAATATAAAGCCATTGTTCAATATAACTTATATTTCAAATTAAAATTGACCTTTGTATTTGGTATGGTCTTAAGAAAATCTTTCTAGAAAAGAAACTAGAAAAATGTCTAGACTCGACGAATGAATAGACAAAGAATATTACGCGGTTAAGATCTGAAGCGCACCTACTTTCTTGCTTAATTCGGAAGAATCGTGAGATAGCCAATGTACAGGACTAATTTTATGATTTTGCGTATTTTTATCGGCAGATAGATTAATTACTATCGGCAAAATGTTATTTTATCGTCCCATCATAGAGAAAAACACATTCTTTACATGTCGTTCATTCAGCAATGTAGATGATAAAAACAACAAAAATGTATATTATAAAGATAATTAATCGGTATGTAATTAATTGTTTGTGGCTTCCGATCAGTAATTGGCGTGCAGAGCGGCGAGCGCGCGGTCCGCCCATGGCGCGATTATAGCCATCGGATACACCATTGCTTGAACTACGCCCCATTTGAACCATTCTGTACCTTAGTGCATTGAAATAGAGGAGAGAGTATCGGCGCGTGTAACGTGGTGGGAGCGACCGGGTGTGGGGGCGGGCATGGCGCCGGGGGAGGGGCACCCCGCCCCCCCGCAGCCCCGCCCGTCGCCCAATCGCCGCGCTCCGCCCGGCCGACCTCACCTTGCCCACACGGACCCACAACCTTTTTATTTTTTTTTATTTCTATTAAGGTTTAGTTTTAAGTTTAAATTTATTAGTGTTCAGTTTACAGTTACTCAGAAATAGTAGATTTTTTACTATATTGCTTATTATTATTTATTATTTAAGTTTTGTTTACATATGCAGTTCTTTTTCATTAACATAAAATTACACAAAATAAGCTTTTAAAAGTTAATTGGGTTAAAAGTTTTTAATCAAAAGCGGACTTTCTATTATGTATAAGCTTAGCGTCAGCTCAGATATGGACAATTCTTTCGTCGTCTATGGAAGTCTACGTTAGGTATTAGATACCTACAATATTCACATAAAAGAAAAGATCTTTGTTGTATATATTACCTACATGGACCGTACAACACTAATATTGTATGCATGCGCCGCAAGTATCGCGTGGCCGCGCGCTCCGTGCACGCAACGTTGAATCGCCGACGCTAATCGTCTATTCAGTCAGAACAGATATAGCGGCTACACGACTAACACGAATTTACATAAAATGTCTTCTGTATAGATTTCCTCTGTTATCTTGAAAATCGCTTTGACATCTCAAGACGATTTTAACAAAAAGGTAGCGAGCGATTGGCTTTGGCGAATAAAGTTTCGACGCGTGTCCGTACGAACCTCCATGACATTGCATTGCGTATGTCGCATAGCGTTTAAAATCGCCGGGTTTCGAAGATTTACATAGTTACCTACAAAACAAATTTCGCTGAAACATTAGGTACATGCTTATGACGTCTTCTGGTTGAATAGCAGCATTTATCGCGTTAAGCATTTCATGGAAAGAATCCGTCACTGAAGTGCTGTCAGCTTGTCGCCGAAGCAATCTCCGCCGAAGTATTCTGACTTGTCCACTTCTTTTTACTTCGTTTTCGATACGACTTTTGTGTCATTTTCATTACTAGTTAGTATTAATATTTCATCCTTTAATTTATAATGCCTTTACCGCAGACCAGGTAATAAATTTTATCTAACATCTTAGAAGAAAATCTATTTCAGAATTTGCCAAACAATAAAAAAATCCTGTTTATTGCCTAACTGTACAAATGTATATTAATACCTTACAAACAGATTTTTTCATTAGGAAGATAAATTTATAACTTAATTTTTATCTGTAAAAATTAATTTTTTAAAAATTTTAAAAGCAAACGCCGCGACAAAGTTACGTCGCTCAAAACGCACTTTCACGGCGTCCTTTGTAAGCGAAACCAATAAGAGGAGAGGGTTTGAAAAGCTCAGCCCACTCGCGAAAGGTCCCTAATGCCACCTTCTACTTGCGATACACAACCTTATGGTAAAGACATAGAGTAGAATTTACTATGCCATTTTGAAACTTATTGGAATAGGGTCCCCCTAATGAATCGTGGTCTCGATATTAGAGTGGTTCATGTTTTATTTTAACGAGGGTGCTACAGGAGTCGGCGCAACATCCTTTTGCAATGAAGTTGCATTGTTGAAATTAGTTTTAGCTGCGAATTAAAAATGAATATCACCTACTTGAAGTAAGAGAATACAAATAAAGTAGACATTGTTTAATTTTATAATATATATTTATCCTCAATTTATTCAAGGTATTCTTAGTATAGAGATAATTTAATAAGTTTGGATTTTGAAATTTCTTTCGGGCAATTAGTAATTTTGCATGCGCGGAATAACGGTGCTTGCCTATGGTGTTGCGGCGAGGGTTCAGGTTCGATCCCGGGGGAGATAGCCGCCAGCTGACGGAGCAGGTGGCCTCCGCGCCGCGCTCGCCATCACACAGCGACCTGCTACTTACTTTTTAGCTTTTCGTTTGAATAATGACTAACCTCTACAGTGTCAAATTATTTACTTTTTACCTAAACGATATCCGAAATAAGTTGATGAAACGAATTTGAACCTGTTGTACTCACCTGCTTGGTGAATTTATTATAAGGTAACCAAGTAATCATTCCCTTTTAGGCAGGTACCTGAATATCGCAAATAATTTGCACGGCAATGCTTAACCCCCGTGACGCCCCGCGCAACCCAGTCATGTAGTGTCGGGCCCGGCGCGCGCTCGTGTTCGTTCCTACTCACCCGCGACTCTCTGCTTTCAGAACAAGGTGGAGTACTACGTCAAATGGAAAGGCTGGAAGCCAAAACACAACACGTGGGAGCCCGAGGAGAACATCCTCGACCCGCGACTCATCCAGAGCTTCGAGCGGGGCGAGGAGCAGCGCCGCCAGGGCAGAAAGCGGGAGCGCGAGCACTCGCCCGTCGAGCGGCCGCGCAGCGCCTCCCCTCCGCCGCATCCGCCGCCCGGCAAGCGCAAGGCCGAGGTGCTCTCGCGAGAGTCGGGCAAGATCGGCGTCACCATCACCATGAGCCCGCCCGCCAAGCGGCACGACACGAAGCCCAATGGCGCGCGCACCACGCAGCATGCTCCCCCGCCACCCGCCGCGCCTCCGGGTGGAGCGCCCGCGCCCGTCTCGCCCGCAGCCGAGGCCGCCGCTCCGCGCACAGGTCCGCGTCGCCCTCCACACTCTCCCGAGGAAGCAGACGCGCACACGCCGCCGGAACGCGAGCGGCGAGCGGACCGCACGGACACGCAGCCCGCCGCCGCCGCACCTGCAGAGCCCCGTGGCGCGCGACCTCACCCGCATCCGCACGTGCCGCCAGCGACGGCGCTCGCCGCACCGCCCGCCCAACCACTCGAAGACGAAGACTCGTGGGGCGAGGGCGAGGCGGCCGCCGCCTCCGCAACTCCGGCGCGCCGCGGCGCTGCCTTCTGGCTGGCGCGCTCGCCCGTCGCCGACCAGATCTTCATCACGGATGTGACGGTCAACCTGCAGACGGTCACCATCAGGGAGTGCCGCACCGAGAAGGGCTTCTTCAGGGCTCGTGAGACAAAATCACTGGACGTGACGTAAGGCGCGGCCGTTTTCTAACATTGTACAGATTTAGGTAGTTAGTATTTATTTAGTCTGTAATTTGATTATATGACGCGTCGACGTGAGCCCCATTCCTTAATGTGTAGGCCTAACTGTGGGGCGGGCGGCAGGTACCTCATGCGCAATAATTACCACCAATAAGTACATGTGAATAGGCAAATTATTGTCAATTGTTGAAAATAGAAACCTTTATTATATTTGTTAAATTTATTAATAACGGCTGGTCGATGAAGTTTCCAGTAAGCACTTATTGCTCTGTATGTTTGTAAATTAGATTTTTTATGGCTAGAAACTAGTAATACACTAGTAGTTGTAGTTACAGACAAACAGAATTACCTGTAAACGAACCTTAACCTGTTTTATTCATACATACAAATAACATAGGAAAACAATAACATCGAATTTTTAAGTTGTGTACAAATGTTTGTTCTAGTATCATCTTGGCGAGATTTATATTGTAAATATGTGCATATTTAACGTACCCATGTATATATAAACTGGTTATGTTGCTTTAGCATCTTTTTTATTATACTCTCTCTATACTAAGGAGTCTGATTTTTATGATAGAATTAAACTTACAAGTGTACAAACTATTCCATTATGAAATATGATAGAGTTCATTGAAGTCTATTTTTCTAACTAAAACCAATGTAAATTATATTATGTTAATAAAGTATTAGAATCTCTATTCCTCATTTAGTTATATATAAATGTAATTAAACGATGAATTTTATTTAACTATTGTGTTTACTCTGATTTATGACAAATATCGACCGAACCGAGTTCCAACTGTCTTGAAACTTGTACAAAAACATTTATTTCTAAAGATAATAAGACAAAAGAATTTGTTTTTTACACTTCTTTTAATATTGGAAACTCGAAACAATTAACATTTTTAATTTCAATGAATTTGTTTACTCTTTTTTTATTTTGTTGTTGTTATTTATGAAAGCTTAATTTTAATGTATGAACATTATATACGGTGTGAACTTTATATAGTAAAATTTAATGGACCATGTAATGTGATAATTTATTTTAATGAGTTAAGGAAATTAATTTTATATATAAGTGCATGGTTTTTTATTTTACAATTCCTGTATTTTATTAATTCATTGTAAATATTAATATGAAGTTTGTACAATTTTTTATTGTTTCAAATCGCCTTGTTTATGCTTTTTTTTGCATTATTTTCCTATATAAAGTGTACACTGTACTTTATTATTTTCTTAATATTAACTTATTTATATATCCTCTACCTGTGAGATATTCTGTGTAGACAAAGTCTATAGATATAATTTCATTATATTATAACTAAACTTCGCATGCAAAAGTTTAATAAACAGTCTTTGATAACTGTTGGTTCACATTGATGAAATAACACATCTATTTATCTCAACCAACCCGCACTTGGCCAGCGTGGTTGACTATGGCCTAGTCACCCTTAACTTAGGGTAGGCTCTGAGCCCCCACGGTGGGGATGTATAGTGAGCTGATGATGATGATGAATATATTTATAGACATTGTCTTGTATCAATATGAGTTTGTTTCGTCAGTGGAAACCCACGGTTAGATAGCAGATGTTTGAAATGAACTGATTGTTTTGTATTACACTCACTAAGGGTTGCTAAGACTGAAATCTCTGTTTAAAACATATTATAACTGTTGTGTCAGTTTTAAGAGAGATGGCGATATGTTTTATACAGAGATTTTTGTCTTGGAAACCCACAGTCAGTTTTTAACTTAACTTTAAGTTTTATGGTAATTCTGAACGCTCGTTTGTGTTCCTTTAATTATTGTTATATAACTTGGTTCCTGATAATATTTAGAACTGTATTGTCATAACAACTTGTGTTTGAGACAAGTGCATTGATTTTATGAGATGAATTTTATGTTTTTTTTTAATTTGTAAATATTGTAAATAATGTATTAGTAGAGTAACACTTGTTTTATAATGTGGATAGAATTCTCACATTGTAGCCTGTAAATAAATGACAATGATTTAGATTTGAGTTATTTTATTTAATAGCAAATAAATCTTATCTACTTACTAAACTTGATGTGACAGTGTTAATAAAATTGATCCATACACAAGTTTAATTTTGATAAATTGGGAACTTCTACCAAATGTTCTTGATCCTTGTTAACTTGGCTATTATGATTCAGTCTGGAGTATTCTTCTTCTTGAGGTGCCTCTCCGACTAGCGAAGGTTGGCGATCAGTTCTCTATATTTTTCTTTGTCTCTTTGTCTGGAGTATTAAAGGAGATTTATTAAAGGTAAAAATGTATGCAAAGGATTAAAAAAAAGTATGGAAAGTATGATTTTCAATAACACAACCGTGAAGTAAATCATCACTCGTGTGACACTTGCACTATTGCTATCTCTGTCTTTTATAAAGAGTGAGAGGGATAGAAATACACCCGCAAAACAAGCGTCACAACCATGGAGGTTCACCGTTTTATAAAAACGTCCACCAAGCAGATACAAAACTTGTCGTTTTAATGTAGCAAAAATAGATGGCGCTAAACATAAAACAGCTATAAATGCCAATACATAGTGTCAAGTTTTCATTTAACACTCGGTTTAAATAAATTAAGTTATTAAGTGTAATTTTGACTTAACGGTATAGTCGCGGACATAATTAAATAAGTTATGTTAGTGAATAAAGTCACGGTAATTATGACAACACTAGATCTGTCAACTAACAAATCAATGTGCGCGTCGCAACATCTTGCTAGACTGCAGTATCGACGACATTGGTAAACGTTGTTTAGCAAACGATCTCACGATCGATCGTAAACTGTTCATACGTTTTGTTAGGATTTGTGGTTAACTTTATCGAATAATAAATCGTGCGATGGAGTGGGAGTGGACAAAAGACAAAACTTTAAAACTAATAGAGTTGTTACAAGTGAATGCAAGCCTGTGGAACCCTTCATTATGTGACACACGTAGAGAAAAGCAAAAAAGAAAAGAAGAATTACGTGCTATTGCCGATATACTAGGAATATCTGTACCTGATACAACGAAAAAGATACAGCATTTACGAACTCAGTACAATAGGGAATCAGCAAAAGAAGCGCGAGTTAATGCTGAGGATCCTAACGATAGATATGTCAGTAATTGGTACGCTTACGAATATCTCCATTTTATGAAAGACTCGAGTAAAGTTTACAAAATACTACAGTCTGTGAGTATTATTTTAATAACATTAACTTATAAAATCTTACAATAATAAAAGGAGACTAAATATCTGCTTCCACTTGCAAATGTTATTTTTCTAAATTTAATTTTTTTATGTATCACTTTATTACACCAATATTTCTAATACTTTTAATTAAAACAAATGACTATTTAAATTACAGGTGGAATTAAGTGATAACATAACTAGCCAGAATGAAACCACAGCAGCATTGACAGACTGCAAACTATTCAATTTATCCCCACCTCATAAAGTAGCAAGAACTGAGGTACTTCATCCAATAAAGTCTGAAATAGTCCATCAATCATCGCCAAGAGATAGAGATGAATTTTCTGTGTTCGGAGAATATATAGCTAATGAGTTAAGATCTTTGAAAGGTGAGAAAAACTTGCTTGTTGCAAAGAAAAAGATACAAGATGTTATATTTGAAGTTAAAATGGGTATGATGAGCGAAGGAAGAGTGGAACAAACATCTACTTGTAATGCATTTACTCATGCTAGTCAAGCAAGTTCGCTGCACACAAGCAAGTTGTATACAGCCCCTGTGATGTCAGCCCCACCAACTACAGGTATCAATGAAATCATTATAAATGGGCCATGCCACTACTCAAACTTTAAAGTTGACACACAATAGCAGTGCCCTCCACTTCCCAATGGGGAAGTGGACAAGAATGATGGTTTCACTATTGCAAATTAAGTGTGTAATATAAAATTGTTGTGAGACTTTAAATGGACAAAAATAGTATTATCGGAATTAAACTATCTTTTGAAAATGCAGTGAATTGGTAAATTGTTTACAGTAAAGTATTTTGTATATTTTTGCAATTTAATAAATTAATTAATACATATTTAAGTAAATATTAGAGTCCTGATGGATGTATAAAATTTGGATACATTTTGTAATTTGGCGGTTTGTAGTAGATAACAGATTTAAAACATATTTTTAATTCAAGTGAGAATTTATATATTTGTAAATGTAAGTATTTTTGTAAACAATTTAATTAAACAGTTAATGTTTATGATATTAAAATTGCATTATCTAAAAATCTTATAGTTAGTAAATTATAGAATTTATAATAAGAAAGTTTGTATACTCATATTATCAAAATGTTAAAGCAGACTAATTTAAACTATAATTAACTTAATATAAAGCTCTTGTAAAATACTCATAAACTAAATAACTCAAAAGTAAATATACATTTTAACAATTACTAGTTGTAATATTTCATTTTATACAACTTACGTTGGTTTTCTAATCAAAATGGCCTTTTGCTTACACAATGCCAACATGTTTTTTATGTTAGGTCTTTATTGTGTAATGTATAAATCTGCTGAGATTTATTTTATCTAGTCACTTAAATTTTGTAATTTTATACATTTATAATCTAATTATAATTATTTAAAATAAATATAATTTTTTTTATAAATTATTTTATTTATGTAACGTATCATTTTACCACAATACAAGCACAACCAAATTGAGTTAAGATTCAGCTGCATATTTTCCCGCCACTCCATCTCTGCACTTCAACTGTTCGATCAAAGATCAACCAAAGTCTATATAAACTTCTTAGAGTCGTTACTTAATGTTTACTCATTCCAATTCACTTTTTATTCGTTATTTTCTTCATTTTATTATTTCGTTATTTTCGTTATTTTATATACTCTTTGATTTTCTTGGTTAATAAAAAAACAAAGAAAATTAGCACACAGCGTTCAATTCACAGGACCCTTTTCTTTTTGTATAATTTTCCGTTGTATTAAAAACAAACGATATTGATATGGAAAAACTTGAACGCATCCTACCTAAGTTTGAGTTTTAACGGAATATTTACTCTGTGCATTATTTATTGGCGCAACATCAGCGAATTTCAAACATAAGTTTTATTGATTTTATTTAAAAGATGATTTCCTTATTTGTATTTATTTATTGTTTAGCAAGTTTTTGTTATGGTGTTGAAAATAATACAATAGTCATTAAAAGTGAGCAATGCAAGAAATTCGAACCATGCTGGGCAAACCTAGATACGAGAATATTACCTCAGTGGTACGATGAAGCAAAAATTGGTATTTTCATACATTGGGGTATTTATTCAGTGCCCGGGTTCTCAGAATGGTTCTGGAATAACTGGAAAGGTAAAAAAGACGTAGATGATAATTTTTTCTATAATTTATTTTGAAATAACGAACTAATGTGTTAATAATTTTGATACGTTTTAGAAAAAGAAATTGTGATTCATAAATTCATGGAAAACCATTATGCACCAGGATTTACTTATCAAGATTTTGCTCCTATGTTCAAAGCGGAATTTTTCGATCCTAACAAATGGGCTCATTTATTTATAAAAGCAGGTGTAAGGTAACAATATTTTTATATTAACCTCTAGCAATACGAACATATCAGAGTAATATTAAATTTCGTACAAAATAATAAGCATAAAGTAAAAAACAATTAAAGAAGAATAAAGTTTGAATAAAATAATCTTGTCCTGCAGATATGTTGTGTTAACAAGTAAACATCACGATGGTTTCTGCATGTTCCCATCAAAACGCTCATTCAGCTGGAATTCCTGTGAAGTCGGTCCTAAATTAGACGTAGTCTCTGAACTATCGAATGCAATTAAACAAGTAGGCTTAAAATTTGGTGTATATCATTCACTTTTTGAATGGTTCAATCCAATGTATAAGGAGGATAAGAAAAATAATTTTAAAACACTTTATTATCCTAATATGAAGCTGTGGCCTGAATTAAAACAGCTAGTTAATGATTACAAGCCATCATTGCTGTGGGCTGATGGTGATTGGGAGGCGTATGATACATACTGGAGATCGACTGATTTCCTCGCTTGGTTATACAATGAGAGCCCCGTAAAGGATGAGATTGTTGTGAACGATAGATGGGGTAAAGGTATTTCTTGTAAACATGGAGATTTTTACAATTGTCACGACCGGTATAACCCTGGTAAGCACCTAGGTATTAGTGTTTTCAAATATCTTATCGGCCCAAGGACATGTGCGCGCTGCGCAGTGCCCTCCCCCCGCATACTACCCTACGCCCCGCTACACCTAAAATTGTGTTCTGCGCAGCTCGCATGTAACACACAATAAATACTAAATTTTGTGTTACTGCCGTTATTTTAATTTATAAGTTAATTAAAAAATATGAGTAATGATCAAATTTATTCGTAGCTAGTGTTATAATTATTAAATACTTATGCATAATTTTAGGTAAACTACAACCCCACAAGTGGGAAAATGCTTTCACAGTAGATAAGAAATCGTGGGGTTTCCGTAAAACGATGAACGCAAACGACACAATGACTATAGAGGAAATACTTCAAGAAATCGTTACAAGTGTTAGTTGTGGAGGTAATTTTTACATTTCTTTTATTTAGTTAAACATTTTAGGTTTTATACGGATTTCGCTGAAATTTGACATAGATGCAGTACATAGACTGGAAGAATACATAGGCTACTAATTTGTTTTTTAATTATGCGCGGACGGAGTCGCAGGTGACAGCTAGTATAAGCAAGAAATATATATTTTCAGGAAACGTCCTAATAAACGTTGGTCCGACGCAATACGGTACCATACCGCCGATATTCCAAGACAGACTCCTAAAGTTGGGTCATTGGCTCGATATAAACGGCAAAGCTATATACAATTCTTCACCCTGGCATCATCAGAATGACTCTGTTAATTCTGACGTATGGTATACATGTCAAAAGACTCCATACAATGTTTTAAATCCGACCGCAAAGCCATTGATTACCGATACAATTTTTGAAATATTCGCGATCTTTTTTACATGGCCCGTTAGCAACCGATTGATCTTAAAAGATGTAACGGGATACATTCAGAGTTCTTCTTACGAGATTGAGTTATTAGGCAATGATGGCGACTTATGGGTGAGTAATTGAAACTTATAAACTGGGTTTCTGATACCAAAACCTCTGTATAAAATATGTCGTCATTTCTGTCTTTCATCTGTGATAAAACAGTGATAACAGAGTTTGTAACGAGGGTTTTGATATCAGAAACCCAAAGTTACTCCCTTAGTTGTCGTTTAATCTTTAGGTACTTAAGCAGTTCTTTAGTGTTAGTATATTTTTTTTTATAAATTATTTAACAGCAGGAAATAGACATTTTTATCCTACCCTTATAGCTTGGGGATACCTCGCTCATACCTCGTTTTAGGGACGGACTATTTTGTTAGTTTAATAGTACTTTTAGGCAATCAAATAATACGTTAATCTGTAGTAAAAAAAATTGATTTGTAGTCAATTAAATGCAATTTTTAATTAGTAGATTTTAATAAAATCATTGATAGAATGTAAATATGCATTGCAGAGGGAAATTAAAAACGGTTTAACATACATCAAGCTTCCAGATAAGGCGACTGTGCTCGTCGAATATACATGGGTATTACGATTTACACCTAAGTATAAAACCAGTGAACTGCGCAAAAATAAAACATAATAACTTAGAAATGTAATTGATATGAGTTATTTGAATAGATTATTTTTAATAAACTTTTAATTTTTTAATAATTTTCCTAAATGTATTTCTTATGTACTTTATATCTATGGGAAGTAAGTTGCAAACTGTGCATGAAATACGTAAAGTTTACGAAAAAATAGTTATTGTAGTAAGAGAAATCTATACAATTAATAAAACTGGGAGTTTCTGTAATCATCAGCTCACTATACGTACCCACCGAGGGGCTCGGAGCCTACTCTAAGTCACGGGTGACTAGGCCATAGTCAACCACACTGGCCTAGTGCGGGTTGGGTGACTTCACACATATTGAATTCCTCCTCAGATATGTTTCTGTAATATTGGAGAAAAAATATATTTCGCGAAAATGATATATTTGGTGCAAGTACACGTTTGGTACGGCTTATGTCCGGAACGGCTGGACCGATTTTGACGGGAAGGTAGCTCCATGCACGCGGGCATATTGTGGGCGACCGCTGGAACTAAATCACATAAAAATTTTAATTTTCTCATAATTAGTAGATCTGAGAATCTGCTATTACTATTATTTAATCCTTTCTGTGCATCCTATCCTCCGTGAATTAAAGGTAGGCAACGCATATGCAATTGCGTATGTCTATGGGAAACGGTCACTTCGCTATTTCAGCGATTTCAGGTAGCCGCTCGCTCGTTTGCCACCTTATGATATAAAAGAAAATCCCTCACGGACGGAGTCGCGGGCGGCAGCTAGTATTTATATATTTACTGATCAACTACTTGACATAAATATTTATCAAAATACGCAATAATAATCACTTAACCCTCACATTAAGTGACGTTAAGTGTACCTATAAATACTTCAGTGACATTTAATAGTATACTAACATAATTGAAACATTTGTCTGGAGTTTATAAACGATAAATAATTTTTATAATAATAATAAAATTATCTTAAATATATTTAGTAGCTAATGAGGAAATTGTATCGTTGACTATAAACAAGTTGAGTTGTTTGTACGATAACAATTGGTTTATTGTGAGTACCTATATACTTACGATAACGTAGTTGACTCAGTACCCACATTGTGTTGTGACCGGTCAAGCGTCTGTCAATCTGTTCGTACACCAAAGACATATTAAAAAGCGATACGTGTCGAAGAAAACATTACATTTATGTTCCGTGGACGTACACAGTAAAGACTGTGAAAAGTTAGTACATAGCTATTCTCAGTGTGAAAAAGTGTTTTAAATAAGGTAATTTTTTTTTTTAATTTTAAACGACTGTAGTTTTTCATTAAATTAATTCAGTCTACGTCTTAAAGTAGATAGATAATAATACTTAAAATTTCATATGACAATTGTATTAACACATTCAAACTTAATGGTTGTTCGTAGGTCTGCAGCATGCGTTGTCAGATGTGCCAGTGGGGTTTCTCTTATTGATATTTAAAATTGTGTTCTCTACAGTGTTGTGCGATATCGCGAGCCGCCATTAATTTTGAATGGCAGTATACATTCTCATGTTTCTACATTTACAAGTGTGCATTCATATTCTTTGGTCAGCGAGCTCGCGTGGTCGTCCAATTACTAATATCCTGTTATATTGTTAGTCAATTTGTGTCTGGACTTTCGGATTAAGTTTTTTTTTATATTTCAGAATAATGAAGATACTTCTATTATGTATTCTTGTGCTATGTTCGGTTGTTAGTAGTTATAGTACGGTAGAAAGTGGTGAATCCCGACACATTAGCGGCCATCTCGTGTCAAAGAAATATTCGCCGGATTGGAAGGATTTAGATACAAGGCCTTTGCCCCATTGGTACGATGATGCGAAAATAGGTATCTTCTTACACTGGGGAGTTTATTCAGTTATCGGTTTCTCGGAATGGTTCTGGAGCAACTGGAAAGGTATGTATTCCTAGAAGAATTCGCTTACAATATCGAGACTTTCTTCCTCTTCCCACCCTTTTTCTTATAAGAAAAGAATGGGAAGTGAAGTGGACTTTCCGGATGAGAGGATGCGTGGAAAGGGAAAATATTTTCTCTCTGTGCATCCTCTCCTCCGTCGATTAAAGGTAGGCAACGCATATGTAATTGCGTATGTCTATGGGCAACGGTCACTTCGCTATTTCAGCGATATAAAAAAAAAACTTAAATTTCTGTTTGATAAGCCAAATATTTATAGGTGGTGATAAAAAAATAAGCAAGTTCATGAAGGAACATTACCCTCCGGACTTTACATATCAAGACTTCGCGCCGATGTTCAAAGCAGAGTTCTTTGACCCTAGCGAGTGGGCTGATTTATTTTTAAAATCTGGAGCTAGGTGAGCGTCATTTGATAAACTTTGCTCCCAGGTTATAATCTTAGTGTTTCTTTTATTTTTTTAATAGATAAAGGAATATAAAGATTATTTTCAGATACATTGTTTTAACAAGTAAGCATCATGATGGTTTCACAATGTTCCCCTCACATCGTTCCTATAGTTGGAATTCTTATGAAGTTGGCCCAAAGCGGGACATAGTCGGCGAACTGTCTACAGCCGTGAGAGCCGCCGGTTTAAAGTTCGGAGTTTATCATTCATTGTACGAATGGTTCAATCCGATATACGAAGAGGATAAAAAGAATAATTTCACCACAAGATATTACGCGGAAACAAAACTATGGCCTGATTTGAAACAATTAATAAATGATTACAAGCCATCAGTTTTATGGTCTGATGGTGATTGGGAGACGTATGATACATACTGGAGATCAACTGATTTCCTCGCTTGGCTGTACAATGAGAGCCCCGTGAAGGATGAGATTGTTGTGAACGATAGATGGGGTATAGGAATCCCCTGTAAACATGGAGACTTCTACAATTGTGCGGATCGGTATAATCCTGGTAAGTGCTTACGTGTAACATTAAAACTAATATCACCAAATAATGATAGTTTAATTGTGATCCGACTTACAGTTGGTTTCAGAGACCATATTCTCTGTATGAAACATATCGTCATCTCTGTCATTATCTTGGACAAAACAGAGATGACAATATGTTTCAAACGGGTTGGTCTCAGAAACCAATGGTTTACTGCTTTACTGATTTTAAAGTCGTATGGGTTTCAATTCCTTCAGTTCTTTAATTAATTAATGTTTGAACGTCTCTGGAATTGTTAATTCGATGTGATGGCTATTGACGTCGTTATGTTTACTCTGTTAGGTTCCCTTCAGAACCACAAATGGGAGAACGCGTTCACAGTGGACAGCAGGTCGTGGGGCTTCCGTAAACCGATGACCCTCAACGACACGCTCTCCACCAACCAGATTCTCTACCAAGTCGTGTCTACTATCAGTTGTGGAGGTGATTTCTTTGAATTTGTTCCAACCGACCCGTATCTTTGTACATATCTTGACTTTTTTTTGCTCTTTAATTACAACTAGCGGTCGCCCGAGACTCCGTCCGCGAGGAATTAAAAAAAACAAGTAGTAGCCTGTATTCTTCCAGACTATGTTCTATATGTATGTTAAGTAAGATTACTTTGTTATTCCAGGTAATGCTTTAATAAATGTTGGTCCAACACAAGATGGCACCATATCACCAATATTCCAAGAAAGACTTTTAGATCTCGGCAATTGGTTAAAGATAAACGGTGAAGCGATATACAGTACTTCTCCTTGGTTACATCAGAATGATTCTCTTAACCAAGACGTGTGGTATACTTGTCGAAAGGTTAAACATAGCCATCGTCATCCGACCGCGATACCGAGAGATAATGATAATGTTACAGCCATTTACGCGATATTCCTTAAATGGCCGACTACGAATATCCTACTTTTAAAGGATCTTTCCACTTATTTACATAATGGTGTTTATAAAATCGAGCTCTTGGGCAACGAAGGTCTTATAAATGTAAGTAATAAAATGTGAAATTAAATTTTGAACGGTTATTGTTATAAAATGCCTTCTTAATGAAACATTGTCTTAATATATTTACGGTTTTTGTAATCGTGTAACGAAATATTTTATTGTTTACAAATTATTTGTACGAATACAATAGGAGCGAAGGAAATTATTGTGATTTAGGTAAAGAAACATACCCATACTACGTGACTACGTGACGTGATTTCCCTCCCTCTTCTCGGTGACCATTCGTAGTATATGCCAAGACCACCTCTCTCCCTTTGCTTTTACTTAGTAATTCATAATTATGATTTTTAACCATTTCACAGGCAAAAATAAAAAAAAACATTTGGCTCATACTCGTCTTTTGGATGAATACTTAAATTACTAGAGAATTATTATATGTATTATGAAAAAGAACAACTAACGACTACGTGACAAAAACCTGAACCACCCTCCCTCACCTGTGACTGACCGTAGTATTTTAAAGACTCCGCTCCCCCCCTCCACCTAAACGGGTCACGTAGTATGGGTACGTGTATGGGCTGGTATTTAGTGGTGTTTTTTTTTAAATACTGATTTAAATAACTATTTTTCTCATATAAATAGGAAGGTAATGGCTGTTATGCTGTTTTTTTTTCAGTGGAATATCAAAAATGGTGTGACCAGTATCGAACTTCCAGACAAAGCTAAAGTACATTCAGAAAATGCATGGACTTTGAAAATGAGTCTTAAATAATTATCAAATTATATTGTTAAATAAATATTTAAAGAATTACAGATTGTTTAAATTTCATTAAATCTTTGCCCTCTTTAGAAAAATTACGTGCACACATAATACGTATGTCCAATTATCATGTCTTGACGGCTGTTAGCTTCGCGCGAGTCGATACACCACAATTTTAGCCTTTGAGCCACCAAGATATATGAAAAGAACAATACAATTGATATACAAATTAGTTGAATATTTATATACAAATTCATAAAAAAAGACGAATAGTAATATTTTGTTATGCGAATACTATCAGTTAAAAACTGGTATAAGCAAATTATTCAAATTTATTTTGTTACATTACTGCTAAAGAATAGTTTTGAAGATAATAAAATACAATAAAATTTTCAAACAAATGTGTATTAGGTAATATATGCGTAGTATTTCAACGAGTTTTAACTGTCGAAACATATACAAAAACCTAGATATTTAAATTTTTTCCCCG